GGGCCTTGTTCTAGGGTGTGCTTGGGCACTTGACCCGGGGCAGCTTTGCTCCATGCATTTCTCGTTCTGTTCCTGGGACCGTCAAGTTAGCTTCTACAGGTTCTTCTTCGGGAAATAGCTGAGGCACAAGCATGACAGGGAGTCCAGATGAGTAGGTGCATTTCAAGATCCTGCTTGCATCACACCAGCAAATGTCTCAGTTCTTGATAGAGGAGTTTGGAAGTCACATGGAAAAGAGCAAGGTAAAGAATTTGGGCCATGAATGCAATCTGATGGATTTGCAAGGAAGGAGAGGTTGAAGTGAAAGAGGAGGTGATTGGTAGCATGAGTACTGGAGGGGAGGAGGGATCGGCGTCTTTAGGGAAAGCGTCACTCTTCCTTTTCAATAAGAGGGGAGGAGGAGAGACTGCTCATGGATGTGGGACATTGGTGGGGTTATTGGGGAAAGTTGAGAGAGTTCCCTTCTCATGGTTTCTGTTCCCTCTGTAAAGTAAGAGGTGTGTCATTTCCTAGGAAAGGGGTTGCTGTGAGGTAGGTGACTTAAGAGTGGGAAAGTTTAAAATTTCCCACGTGGGAATTGAGGGAGAGTCCACAGGAAACACAGGCGTGTTACTGGGCCTGGTTGAGAATCCAGGCAAGCTTGGGTACTGTGGATTTCTACCCCATACACTCTCAGCAAAGATGCTATTGGCCATCCAAAGTGGAGCCAGTCTGTGGTGGTACTGGGGGTCATCTTCGGCTTTTCTCTTTCTGTTATGTGACTCAGCCAAACAATTCCCGAGGCCTGTCCGTTCACTTCTGTGGAGCGTTCTGAGTCAGCCACTTCTCTCCATTCTCCTGCTCTTGCAGGGACCTGGCCACTAACTCTGTCCATTGCATGCCCATCACAGCCTCCCTGTGAGCTCCCCGCACCATCAGTAACGCTTGGGGACAGCATGGAGGGGAGCCACACCCGGTAGCCGGCCAAGAGTCATCATTGCTACCTTGTATGCTAGATCTCCCTTTTATCAAATAAACTTTGATTTTAGAATAATTTAGACTTATGGAAAAAATGCAAACATTATACAGAGAATTCCCATATACCCTCTACCCATTTCCCCTGTTAGTAGGATCTGACATTAGTATAATACATTTGACACAACAAATGAATCAATGTTGATGTGTTTTTATTATGAACTCAAGTCCATTCTTTATTCTAACTTCCTCGTTTTTTTCCTAATATTTTTGTTGTTGTTGTTTTTCCAGGACACCATGTAGGTCCCCATATTCCATTTACTTGTCACTTCCCCTTCGGCTCCTCTTGGCTGTGAAATTTCTCAGAATTTATGACTTTGACAGGTTGGGGGGTACTTGTCAGGTAGTTTGTAAGATGTTTCTCAATTGGGATTTGTCTGATGTGTTTCTCATGATTAGACTGGAGTTATGGGCTTTTGAGAGAAGGACCACAGAGGAAAGTGCCATTCTCATCACATCATATCAAAGGTACTGTTCAAGGAAAAAAAAAATTCAATGACACTTGTTACAGATGGTAAGGCAGACCCTGTTCAGCGTCATCTGACAGGTGTAGGGACCACTGCAATCAGATTTTGCAGTGGGGGAGAGAGAGTGGATTCAACTCCAAATACCACAAGGAAACAGCACATGCTATCAGTGTGACTTGTCACTGTTGACGTTGACCTTGACCAGCTGGCTAAGGTTGTGTCTGCCAGGTTTCTCTATTGTAATGTTCTCTTCCCTCCCGCCTTCCCACAGTCTGGAGGGAGCCCAAGTTGAGGAGTGCATCCTTGAGTTCCATCTCCGTGAGAGTGGTGTACCTGCATACATTATTTGGAATTATTCTGCCCAGAAAATGTATCAGGCATTTTTTATACAACACATTATTTCTTATAATTTTCATAACTGTGAGGTTGATATTATCTCCCATTTTCCAGAAGCAGAGACGGTGACTCAGTAAAGTTGACTCCCCTTCCCAGGGTCACCCATGCTGGGGACTTGAACTTGGGTGTTCTCAAAGCCAACTCTCTTCAGTGCTAAGCTCTGTGTCTACACTGTTGTTTAATCACCTCACTGAAGGTATTTCGTATGACTGTGTCACTTGTGTCTTTCTCTTAGGCACGGTAAGCGTCATTGTGGGGCAAGGTGTTCTTGGGTTCTGTATGGTGAGCCCACCCTCTGGAAAGACTTTTTCTGAGGACTTTAGGAAATCCTATTTTATAAATCCTATTCCAAGTTGGACTAGGCTCAAACTAGATTTCAATATGGTACATGTTATGTTGGGTTTTGTTATACAAGGAAGGTTGTGTTCTATCTGTCTTCTTTCTTTCCTTCCTTCCTTTAGAAAAGGAAAGCCCCTTTTGGTTAATTGTCATGGTTTTTAAAAAGAAACATTAATATCTACACATTCTTAGAAGCATTGGGTCCACCCTGACTTCATTGAATGAGGTCACCTGTTTATAAGAGGTCTTATTCTGCTATTCTGGAAAAGTCAGTAGGGAGCCAGGGGTGATTTCATGGGTTGTTGAAAGCTCATGCCTGTAGTCAGAATGAGTTGGCTATGGGTTGGTTTTTCTGAGCTCAACATAATATGCAGAACAGATCTGTATAATGGGCTGTTTGCTTTGTGGATTTTCTATTTTTCCTCTCCCTGCCTGTTCAAAGTGTTTAGAATATATCAGCGCAAAGAACATCATGCTGAAAATTGTGACAGATACGCTCTTTCACATCTTTAAAGAAATGGCTCCAAACGAATTGCAATTTGTTTCACTAGGACCCTGGATAAATCTAACTGACAGGTGCCACAGAGCATTTAGCTGGACGACAAACCTAACTGAGACCAAAGGACCCTTCCCCCCACCATTTTGAACAATTAAGGTGCTAGTAAATGACAGTGGGGGTCCAAGTGGCCGAAAGGAGTCAGAAAGCATCAGATGCGGGTGGGAGCCTGTGAGTCAGAGAGCCAGAGGGTGGCACCCGTCATTTCTGGCTTGTTAACCCACAACACGTTGTGTTAGCCAGTGTCTCTCTCACAAAAGCTGCATGTTTCACTTGTTAATTTTTGCAGTGAGTTCCGGAGATGAGCTGAGGTCAATGGTAGGCAGACAACAATGCTTCTAGAAGGGTTCGTACTCTAATTTTTGTGGCTTGTTTGTTTTTAACTTTGAAGTTGATGAGAAGGATTTGATATTGCTTGGGCAGCAGCCCCACCAGGAAGGAAGCTGGGTCCCAGCCTCTGTCTGGGTGGGGGTGGGATGCGTGCTTCTGTGGGTGGAGATAATTCTGGGAGATGCTGGCTGTGGGCCTCAGTTCACTCAGCCTGTGGCCCGCAGGGCGAGCAGGTGAGCCAAGGGAAGCTCCTGAGTTTCCAGGCTGCCCATTCTCAGGAGGCCTCCCCGCCTGCCACACCCAACTCTCACCCTGTGCCCTGGCCGAAATCAGCCAGGAAGGAGCCTTATGGGTCCTGGCTTCTCTGTGAGGCAGAGGCCTCCCAGGGGGCAGTGGGTGGTGCCCAGGTAAGGACAAGAGGGTGCACTGAAAGCCCATGAGGCCCCACACGTGCAACTCTGACGGTAGCAGTTCCAAAGGATGAATGGGGACATTTCAGAGAACTGAGTCCTCAGTGTGTAAGGATGCAGACTGGGCACCCAGCATGGCCAGCTGGGCCCAGGCAGGGCTTCCTCAGTCTGCCCCACTCCCCAGGGTATGTTAGCCGTCACCAGCAGGGCCAGGATGGAGTTGCAGCTGAGAAGTGGGCCTGGGGGTGGGAGGCAGGGAAAAGGTGAGGAACAGAGGAAGCTGGCTTCCACCTTGGTGTGATCAGTCGTGAAACAATGAAGTGTGAGCCTCTAAGACAGAGCTTCTCAGTGAGGTGAGCTTCTCAGTGAAGTGTGCTTCTCAGTGCCTCCCATAGGGGGCACTTGGCAATGTCTGGGACATTTTGGGTGTCATAGCCTGGGTGGGAGGAGGGGTCTGGTTGCTACCAGCACCTAGTGGGTGGAGACCAGGGGTCTGAGCACACTGGACAGCCCACCACTGAGAATAATCCTGCCCCTGAGTGTCACCGTGCCAGAGCTGGGACCCTGCTCCAGGGCACGGAAGTGGGGGAGGGTGGCGGCTTCTTTCACACAAGGATTTAGGAAGCATCGCCCATGGGCATCGGGCTGCACAGATATTTGGCCCAGGTCACTCTGTTTGAGGAACGCTCCCACTCCAGTTTGGTTTTCTGGTGGGTGGGTGGGGGAGGCTGGAGGACCCTGGGAATACTGCTTTCTGCATGATGTTCACGTTTTCCACTCCTATTTAAGAGAGTAAGAATGAGCAGAAAATCAGGTCTCTTTTGAAAGAGCAAGATGATAAAGGGGAGAAATCTGTATTCTCAAATGAGTATTCTTACCTGCTTGGATTTCTGGCTGAGGATCTTGGAAGCAACACTGCCTGTGTTTCCAGAGTGTGTATTTGTGTTCGTGTGTGTATGTTTGTGTGTGAGTGCGAGTGTGTGTATGAGAGACAGACACTTTTGAGCAGTGACAGAGGGTGGCAGTGTGCACTGGCATATCCCCTTGCTGCGAAGATGGCTTTCTCCTCCCTGAAGCCCAGGAGCCCTGGGAAATGGCCCAGCGACTCATTTTTGGTTTTGCATCTGTGCTCTGGTGTCTCCTGCTAGGAGCTGACAGCATCCAGGACCTTGCTCTGACCAGCAGTGTCTGCTGAGGCTAGCTCAGCATTTCTGCACGCCACCCCGCAGCATCCTGGCTACTCACGTTCCCTCCTTGACAATGTTGACAGGACAGCTGAGCTCCCAGGTGGGTCCGTGAAGGGAACAAGAATGAGCCAGTAGAGAGAGCAACGCCGTGGCTGAGAATTCTTTCTTGCTGTTGGAGGGGCAAGCTCACACACCACAGATGGGCTGCCCCGGAGGAGGACCATGGGATGTTTCTCCCTCTCTCTAGGAAAACCTCACTGGGATGAGTGTGGTCTGCTCACGGGTGCAAATCTCTTTGCAGGGCATGCCACCATCACCAACTACTTGTTGAACTACTTCCCTGGTCTTGACCTGGAAAGAAGGAACGTGTTCGGGTTCACAGCCCTGATGAAAGCTGCCATGCAGGGCCGGACAGAGTGCATCCGGGCCTTGATGCTAGCAGGTACGTCTCCACCTGTCCTACATGGTCCTGGGGCCGGGAAAGGTGGACTTTGCTTCCTTAAAGAGTATGTCTCCATCTTTGAAATGGGTGTAGTGACTTCTTCATCCCTCTGAGGATGGAACAGGATAGTACTTTGTAGACTCTGAAGGGCTACGCAGATTTAATGAACTACTGAGCTAAATTCCCTGTGACTGATGTCTGGTTCTCTCCCCTACCCTGAAGTGGACTCTCGCTCACCATTAGCACAACCTCATTGGGTTTTATATGTATAATTTATATAATTTTTTGTTATTTTTATTATTTGTATTGATTTTTTAAAGAGAGGAAGGGAGAAGGAGAGAGAGAAACATCGATCATTTCTGACGTATGGAGAAGTACAAAGATAGGACAGAGTTCTCCCAGAGCCCTTGCTTGTCTTCCCATGTTACCTCGTACTGAGAGGCTGACATCGATACATGGTTATTCACCGAACTCCAGACTTGATCAGATTTTGCCAGTTCTTCCATGAATGTTCCCTTATCTGTTCCAGGGTCCCTCTAGGCTCCCACATTTTGTTGTCATGTGTCCCCAGTCCCCCTGATTAAGTGGTGGTGAAGGAGCTTCATCTGCTTCTCCTCTGGAGCTGGTTGTAAGAGTGTAAATCCTTAGAATTCACTCTTCCAGCCCACATTCAGTCACATCTGTGCGTTCTCAGTGCAGTGATTTGAATCCTGAACCTTTTGTTTATAGGTCAGTTGCCTTCCAATCACTCTGGCAAACGCCCAGGTCCTGTTGTTCCGCTGTCCTCCGGGGTCTGTGGAGGTTTCAGGCATTGGCTACGTGATCACAGGGTCACAGCAACACCTTTGGGGTCTCTTGAGGGAGGGGCCTGCTTACAGGCAGTGTGTTCATTGCTAACGTCGTTCTTTTCCCACTCAGTTATTTGGATAACAAATTTGGCATTAGGCTTTATGTACTCTCCTTGTTCTATCTCCTCCTCCGTGAGCCCTGCCCAGGAAGAGGCTAGAATAATCCGCATGAGTACAGACCTTAAGTGTGTTCATTCCTGAACTGTGTGTGGTCAGAGAAGAGGTCAGTGGAACGAGCTTGGCAGCCAGGACCCCTGGCTTCAAATCTAGCTCCGCCACTTACTCTGTTCGTACCAATGGTCAGTCACCTAATGTTCTGAGCCTCAGTTTCCCCTTCTATAAAATAAGGTGAATGACGGTAGCTACTGCAGGAAGTCGTGATGGGGAGCGAGGGAGTTCCTGTGTGGAAAGCCCTTGGATTTGTGCCTGCGATGAGGAAGCCTTCAGTCAGTGTTGGTTACTATTGTTGTTGTTGTTATTTTTGGTGAATTTATGTGTTCAATAATTATCTGTTAAATGAATGAAAAAATATGGCATATTTTTCCCTTTGAAAAATATCCTTGTGATGTGATACTTAAATGTTCTTATTGAGGGCAATAAGCGTGTAACTCAGGGTTTCTTAATCTTGGCACTGTTGGCCTTTGGGGCCAGGTCGTTCTCTGTGGTTGAGGGCTGTCCTGGGAATAGATTGCTCAGCAGCCTCCCTGGCCTCTGACAACAGGTGACTGTAGCATCCCCCAGGTTTGACAACCAAAACTGTCTCCAGACATTGCCAGCGCCCCCTGCAGGGCACAGTTGTCTCCTAACAAGTCACACTCCTAACAAGTGTGACTAGTGTAAATACAAAAGGGTGGAAAATGTGCAAAGAGAATTTTTCCCTTATGTACTTTCTTCTTTCCATCTCGTCCTATATTCCTTCTTAAGTAAAAACCCGGCACCCTTTTCAGGGCACTTTGGCCCCACCCTCTAAGGCTTTGGTTGTAGTGTCTGACTTCTAGGAAACTTGCATTTCCTGCTGTTACTACTAAGTTAGCCTACAGTTCTTTTCCCCAGGAAAGTGAGTTTCATTTTCCTTTTATGGTAGATGTGTATGTATGGTTTTTTTTTTATCCTCACTCGAGGACATTTTTCCATTTTTTGTTCAGATAGAATGGGAAGGGGAGAGAGAGAGAGAGAGAGAAAGAGAGAGAGAGAGAGAGAGAGAGAAACATCGACATGAAAGGGACACATCGAGTGGCTGCCTCTCACAAGACCCAACCAGGGCCAGGGACAAATTGCAACCGAGGTACATGCCCTTAGTGGGAACCGAACCCGGATCTCTCTGGACCGCAGGCTGACGCTCTAACCGCTGAGCCAAACTAGCCAGGGCTGTATGTATGTTTTTAATTGCTGTTTTTTTTTTTTTTTTTTTGGTGTTAATCCTCACTCAGGGATATTTTTCTACCAATTTTTAGATAGAGTAGAAGGAAGTTGGGGATGGGGAGAGAGAGAGAGAGACAAACATCAATGAGAGAAAGAGGCATTGATTGATTGCCTCCCATACAACCCCAACTGGAGCTGGGGATCGAACCTGCAACCCAGGTATGTGCATGCCCTTGACCAGGAATTAAACCCGAGACCCTTTGCCCTACAGGCTGAAGCTCTTAACCACTAAGCCAAGCAGGCCAGGGCTGTATGTATATTTTAAAAGAAAAAAAAAAAATGTGGTTGAATGTTTTCCCTGGGTTGGGTGGAAAGCAAAAAGGATACTTGTTGAGATATTTTAAAAATTTGCGCAAGTATTTTTGTCTTCCTATTTCCATTTAATATATCAATATTAGGAAAAGTTAAAACTTTTAAAGGTCTGAATGCCTTGAGTATTTCTTTAGGGTTGGCATTTATGTACAGCTGTGCAAGTTACCTTGACAACTGATAACAGGATGGTCACTCTGTGGCCATTTCAAAAGCAAAAGGCATCAGCATTACTACACATTAGTGGTTGGAGTAAAAATGTGTATATCATTCTCATTTTGTCAAGAGCAGTATTCTTCTATAACCGAGTGTATTTCTGCTCCTGAGTTTGAATTTCCAAGTTGCAAGTTCATTATATTCAATAGGAACCATTTCCTTGTAGAAAATGATGAGTCATTGAACTGGATGTACCCCTTTTCCAATAGTTCAAAACTTAGAGACACGTATCAGTTCTTATCTTACCTTGTCAGGTAGAACAAAATAATGTTAAAGTGATCAGAACCTTGGATTTTAATAAACATATAACCAGGTTCTGAAAAGCTGATTTATTGGCTCTTTGGTTTTTGGCTTCCCAAGGAATAAGGTCAGCTCTGCTGAAGAGAATCACAGGGAAGGCTTTGGAACCTCGTTAATTCAATGGAATATTAATGCCCAGAGTGACAGGTCTGTTTAAATAAGGGGCTCTGGGAATCATATGGAGAATGTGATCGGCTCTGAAGAGAGACAGAACTTGGTGGAGGTTGGCAGGTTCCAGACTTCGTATGAGAGCTTGTTTCACACCCGAGGGGTGGTGTCATTGCTGCAGCGCCCAGGAAGCAAAGTCAAGCAAACAAAAAACTCGGAGTCTTTTGTGATTGCAGAGAACAGAGCAGGCGGTGGGGAGGCCTGTGGAATGAGGAGCAGGGGCAGAGGCACTCACACGACGGTACTGACCGCGTGATCCTTCCGCCCTCGGCTAGCCCCGACTGTGTACTTCTGGAAAGCCAGAGGGCGTGATGTCACTAAGAAGTTTCTTTCTGTTTATAAGGAAAGCATGAATTTTCTGTGAAATGAGAATTTGCCCACTTGGAATAGTTTCAAGTTGTTGAGCAGAAAAAAGGCTAAAAACTATGCATTCTATATTATCAAGTGCAGTGTCTCAGCCTGGATACCCACGGAAACAAATTCTGGGCAAGGACTTGGGACAAGTAGTTCTCCTGGAGGAGGACCCTGGGAAGTGGTGTGAAGGATGGGAAGTGAGACCAGGGCGACAGGAAAGCTAATAAATTGTGCTGAGGAGCTGGTGGCCCTGTGGCAGCCAGGAGTCAGCCCTTCCCAGAACCTCTGATAACTGAGGAGTGCCCTGTGGGGTGGGCCAGGGAAGCGAGGCTATTTATCCTCCAGCTTGGATTTCTCAGGGCAGGAGAGCTCTTAGACACATTAATTCTTCGGCAGTTCCCCCGCTGTGCCATGGGCTGGAGTGTAGGTGATCTGATGCCCATCAAGGGCTCTTTCCTGTGACCCTACATCCTGACTTGTCATGTTAACTATACCCCACGTGCCCAGGTACAGGCCAGAGGTGGCACAGAACAAGGCCTGCAAGGTCTGGTCCACAGTGGTCCTGTGTGACCGGAAAGGCCTCTGGGCAGGAGGGAGACAGGGTTGGGCTTCGAAGAGTAAATAGTGTGGGGGTGGGGTCTGGGAGAAATAGGGAAGGAAGTGATGCATCCTGGGCTCTGCCCATCTCCTGCTGGTCCCGTGGACCTGGCCATGACTCCTGGAGAAGGACTCTGAGAATGAGTGATGGAAGGGAGCTTGTTTGGCTATAGAACCTGCTGAGGATGCTTTCTGCTGTGAGGAACAGAAATCCTGACTTGACCGTGGTTTAAAGAAGATAGACGTATATTCTTCTCATCTCACTGGAAGTTTTGAAGTAGGGAGTTGCTATGCAGAACTGGTCCTAGACCATGAGGACATCACAGACTCAGGTTTCTTCCTCTTGTCCACTTATCACCCTTTGCCCGCAGCCTGCTGACTGGTCACCTCATGATTGCGGGATGGCCATCACAGCTCCAGGCTACAGATTCATGCTTCAGACAGGAAGCAGCGTCCCAGCCACATTGGTCCCTTTCAGCAGGATGCAACAGCCTGCTCTTTGGGGCCCAAATACGGGACAGGATTGCATTTGGCAAGGTCTGGGACATTTTTGATTTCCACAGCTGGTGGAATGCTGTTGACATCTAGTGGGTAGAGAAAAGGGATGCTTTTAAAAGTCCTACAATGCACAGGATGACCCCACAACAAATAATCTGGCCGAAAATGTCAGTGGTGCTGAGGTTGTGAAACCCTGCGTTAGACCAGTCATGGTGCATTGCTTAGAACTGAGTATGTTTCTTCCTTGAATAAAATAGAGGATTTTGTGTAGACAACTCACAGCACTCAACATGGCAGCAAATGGACCCACTGGCAGGAACCCAACCCTTGTCTGCATGACTGGCGCCCTGAGTGAATCAACATTGGGTAGGAGGCCAATAGTCTCATGGGGAGAAGATGGATACAGTGGTGTTTCAGAAGTTTCCATATTCTCTGAAAGGTATACAGGGTGGAGAAAAAGCAGGTTTACAGTTGTGAGTATGTGAAACAGAGTTTATTCTTGTATTATTTATTAATTATTGTATTATTTTCCATACTCACAACTGTAAACCTACTTTGTACGTATAAAGTGTTAATATCAGCACTTGTCTTTTATGATTTAAGCACTACATCCAGGTTATTAATATTGTCCCTAACAGTAATTTCTTAAGGAAGTGAATCCCTGACTTTAACATGAATCAGACTCTTGGGCTGTATTACAGACAGAATGGCCTCTGTTCTTTAGAATTTTTGTATTTTTCCAAGATCATCTTGAAAAGGTACAAGAGGAACAGGAAGAGGCGAGCTAAACTTTGGACAGCTGCTCTTTTCGTTTCCATTAGCATTTGAAAAATGTCTCTTTCAAGCAGTGTTCATTAAGATTTTAATTTTGCAGTTTGTTCCTTTTTAAGTGACATGCAATTAATTAAGGTTTAATGTGTCATCTATTTTTTGCAATGACACTTTTACTGCCCCCTTTTCATTCCAGTTCGTTTATAAATTGTACTCTAGCTAATGAGTTCCATCGTTATTCCCAGTTCCAAATAATTACCACTCTTCTAAGATGGCTATTCTTTAATGTGTCACAGAATTAAGAGCATTGCCAGGTGAAATCAGGGGATCGTGGGGCCCCGGGGGGCTGCCAGGCTCCCTGCTCTTCTTAGTTCAGCACATGTTGACCAGTCACCACACGTCAGACTCCTGGGTCTGTGTGGAACAGAGGCCTGTCTGCAGAGCCTGGTCCCTGGGGAGCTTGTGGACCAGATAATCGATCCACTTCTCCACATTGCTTTGCCAGTGCAAACATGAATAATGGGACTTGAAATCCTGAATGATTTTGACCTGTCTATGGGTCTGAGATTGGACCAAGATGAATTGAACAGCAATAATTACTTATAAATTCTTATTTTACTACCAAGCTAAAATCTGTGAAATATTAGGAGGGGCCAGTGGGTGGTATAGGAGAGATTTATTAAGGAAGTGACTAGTGTAAGTGAGACTGTGAAGATGTAGGAGTCAGGGTTCTCTAGAGAAACAGAATGGATGAAGCTATATATTAAGGGTTTATTTTATTAAGAGACGTGTTTTTAGGAATTGGCTTGCGTGATTTGGGAGTTGGCAAACTCAAGATCTGTAGGGCAGGCCAGTGGGCTAGATACTTGTGTAGGAGCTGATGCTCCAGTCTTGAATCTGAATTCCTTCTTCTCCAGAAATTCAGTTTTTGTTTTTAAGACCTTCAACTGATTGGACAAGGCCCACCCACATTATTTCAGGTAGTCTCCTTGACTTCAAGTTAAGTGATTGTGGATGTTAACCACATCTAAAAAATACCTCCACGGCAGACCTGGTTTTTGTTCAATTAAACCCCTGAGCACTAGAGCCTGCCATGTTGAAACAAAACTATCTCAGAGGAAGGGCCTGCCCTGTGGGGTGGTGGGAAGTGCATGGGGCCGAGGATCAGGACACCTTCTGTCTTACCAGCTTCGAGACCTTAGGAAGGCCCCTCAGCCACTGTGACTACCATCCTTCCTGTAACAAACCTTTTTTAAATGCAAGCCTCCTGCCAGCCAGGATGATATGTGTTGAGGAAACAAAAACAACTGAGATGTGGCCTCTGTACTGGAGAAGCTCACAGTCTGGTAAAGACGACAGAGCCACGGTCAACTACCACCCAGGGTGAGAAGTGAACAGCCTTCCATTTCTGCAAAATTACAATAGCAGCCATCCTCGCAGAGATCTGTGAGGGGAAGGGAGGTGACAAATAGATGCAAGGGACCAGTACTGTGAGAATTTGTAGAATATTCCAGCAGCATCAGCCAGGTGTCCACAGACCACCTGTGCTGTTTTCATCTTTCCATTGCTCAGAAGCCAAGACATCTCATTTCTTCAAAAATTCCAAGATTTCAGTGCTGAGTTCAGGTGGTTTTACTTAGACAAGAGAAGACATTAAGTGGAGCTCGTAAAAATGGTTTGTGTTATATAGTAAACGCAGCAGGTGACGGTCAGAGCCAGGTTCATCCACCTGACTGTTAGTAGATTTTGGAAACTTCGTTTCATTCCACTGAATTTCTTTTCTGCCTGTGGACAGGAAAGCTCTTGTTGCCTCCACTCCTGACTGTGTTTTGTGTCTCTCAGGGGCAGATGTCCATGCCAGGGACACCCACCGCGGAATGTCGCCCCAGGAGTGGGCCACTTACACAGGGCGGCTGGAGGCAGTGCGCCTCATCCAGAGGCTGTTGGAGCGACCCTGCCCTGAGCAGTTTGGGGAAAAGTACAAGCCAGAGCTGCCGCTGCCACTCGAGGGGGTTCTGAAGCCGGTGGACTCCAAAAACTGCTTGCAGAGGCTCACGGAGTTTGTGCGGTCCACGCTGACCTCCCGCTTGCGGCACCAGAGCCTGGAGGATGGCGGTGTCCTGGACCACATGGTCAGGATGACCACGAGTCTCTACAGTCCTGCTGTGGCCATCGCCTGCCAGACAGTGTGCCCTGAGGACCCGCCCTGTGTAGGCAAAAGGCGGCTGGCAGTGCAGGAAATCCTGGAGGCTCCTGCGGCCCCCGACACACGTGCCCAGGAGAGGGACAAAGTGGAGGACACTGAACAGCAATTTCGGACCTCTCCGGAGGTGGGCGTCTCCAGAGAGGGGACCCTGAGAACCAGCCTCCCGTCTCCCCAGCTGCCAGTTGGCCGGCGGAAGGCCAGCCTCCTGCCCCTGCCGCTGCTGAGGAGGAGCAGCGTGCGGCCCGGCGTGGTCATCCCCAGGGTGCGCATCACCAAGGCGCCCGCGCCCACCTTCCAGCCCGAGCGGGCGCCCGCCAAGGGCAGCACCAAGGACAACTCCCACCTGCAGCTCCCCAAGTGGAGGTACAAGGAGGCCAAGGAGGAGAAGAGGAAGGCGGAAGAGGCGGAGAAGCAGCGGGTGGCAGCGGCGCAGAAGGAAAGGCGGGTAGTGCCCTGGAGGAAAAGGACGTGAGGGGATACACACGCCACCCAGAGCGGGGGAGGGGGCTGAGGGGAGGCGTGTGGCTGTCCCGGGAAGGATGCACCTCCCTCCCGCCCTCGCTGCTCCCCCTCCCGCCCTCGCTGCTGCTCCGGCGCACACTCCCCTTCGGGACAGGATCCTCTGTGGGGCCCAGAAAGCAGTCCATGTTTTTCAGGCTGCGCCCAGGAGTGAATTGGGCATAGCACAAACCGATTTGCCTAAATCTAGTTCCCCCAGCAGCTGAGACACCTAGCGGGCAATTTGCCTAAAATTCTACCTTGAGAACCTCAAGAAATTAAAAAAACCAATTTATCAAAGGGCATTTTCTGTATAATTTTGTATTTGAATCATGATAAAATTTGCAGCATTTTACCAGCGGTGGGGCTGTTTGTACTTAAGACAATTTTAATGCATTTGTCTGAAGACCCTTTGTTTACAATACTGTTTCTAGCAATACTTATTTGTGATATCTCTATGATTTTATAAGGAATTGGTGAACCCTCCCCCCCCCGCCTTTGCTATTTGTTTTTTCATCTTGCCTTCTTTCTCATTATGAACACACAACACTGTATGATCTTATTGATTTGATTAAGTGATGCCAAAAATTTGTTTCTATTTGATGGAGGCATTTTTTTTTTTTTTTTTACAGCAAAATGATTAAGGAAGGAATCAGATTTCCTTTTATCTTATTTCTAAGTGATCTTATTCATACAGTAATAACAATGAAGAAAACCTATTGTCAAAGTATTAAACAGTGAATAGAGAAGCATGTATTTATTGCTAGCATGACACTCACTTTAAGCAAGGGTTTTTAGAAAAGCTGGATACAAAATCTTTAACATATTCAAAAACAGATACAAGAGGAAAAACTGTTTTTAATAAAATTGGGGCAAATCTGATAAATTATTATTAGAAATACAAAATTAAGTCACATGTGCTCTTTGATAAATTGAATTCAGAAATTCTTAAAATAGAAAAAAGATGCAAAAAGGATAAGGAATCCAGAATGAAAGGCGCAGAAATGGAGGGAGAGGGGGTGATTTTTACAGGAACAGGGGTTAGAACCGACTGTGAAGTGAACTTGTTTTAGGCACTCTCCTTGAGAGGGCTGGCGGCTCCCTCCTCCGGACTCAGTTCCAGCGATTCCTTGGTGTGGACTCACTTTTATTTTTCCTTTGATAACTGCCCTGAGGTTCACTTTACCCTTCACACCGACTTTGTAGAATTTCCAAGATGTGAAGACTTCGGCCGAGCATGGATGTGACTTGCCCTGGGCCTCGAACTCTCAGTGGGAGTTTTCTGTCCATCCTTTTTTTTTTTTTTAAATCTGCAAAGCACTGAGACATTCAAGTGAAGCTCTGGCCGTCGGGTTGTAGAGTATGTATCACATCTGCACTACTGACAGCACTTTATTTAACTAGTATCCTGCTTGGAAGCTATAGATTTAAAACTTTACAGTGATTTAGAAACTCTTCACTATAATCCTGCATTCACAGGGCAGGTTGGCTCCCTGGCTACACTGGGATGAGAGCCCTGCTGTCCCTGCTGCAGGTGGGGGCGGCACTGCCTCTCCCTGCTCCCCGCTACTCAGCACCATCAGGCCTTGAGAAATCAGGGGTCTTACACTTACTCTCCAAAACCCTCAACATTGCCCTGAACTGATGGGCAATAGGTGTGGTGATAATTCAGCTTTCAAAGTCAGATTGCAGTAGTTTCTCCCTCATCCCAGAAAGGCACAAGAAGAAGGGCACAGAGGCCTGGGCCCACTTTGAGCATCACTGGTCATAGTTGGCTGCAAGTCATCTTTGTGCCAAAGAGTTGGGGTTGGCCAAGTCCGCTTGGATGAGATGAGGACTGGTCCCCAAGGTGGAAGCATCCCTGTGACAGTATGATCTGGCATCCTAAGGTCATTGTCCATGTTTATGTATTTTCATTGCTTTGAATGGCTGACTGCATTGTCTCACCAGGGGTCACCCCCCCCCCTGCCCCTGTCCGCCAGTGTCAGGGACAGGGGCACTGATGGCCCCTGCTGATTTTCCATGACTTTGTCAACGTTTTGCTCCCAGCCATCCCTTTTGCCTCCTCTTTTTCCTCACTTGCCCTTTCTTCCTTTGCCCCTTTTCTTCTCCAGATTTGGCTAAATACCTTGCTTATCCTTAGCCCCACCACTCTGAGGTCTAAAAGGAGCAGAAAAGCAAGGCCATTAAGAGCATGAGCGTGGCGTCCCTGTTGAATGAGCATGTCATAACCTCTACATACCCAGTAGTGCACAAGGAGAGATTTATCCAGCATCTGTGCAGGTGGTTTAGAATTTTGACAACCCCCCCTTTTAGGGAGGGAGCCCTTGGTTTCTCTCCTGACAGATGACAACCCACCCTCGATTGATGTATAGAGGGGGGAGGGTCTGGTGTCTGCTTGCACCCCTGAAGTTTATTAACTATAAATAGTAAATTTCAAGTTGACAGGTACCTTCTCAGGGATTTATATATAAACATAGTTAGGGGCAAAGTTGAAGTATATGTTAATACTTCCTAGTGCTTGTGTGAATGCTGATTAAACTAGACAGAAGACGTGTGTAAGACAATGTCAGCGCTGCTGTTTCCCAGGGAGACGTCTGGGAAGCGCCCCTCAGTCAAGATTTCTTGGTTATGGGAAACCCGGGACCCTGGCCACTAAAATGTCTCTGGGGTGAATGTGGAGTCGCTTCAGTGCCTCTCAGTGGCCTCTGTGGGTGTGCACCCTTGTATTTTGACAAAGAAATTCACCTCCCCTGCGAGTAGTGGTGGTAACACAGGTGGGCCATTCATTGCGTTTACCCGGAGAACTGGTGTTTCCCCATCTGATATTGGGGTGTGTGGTGTGAAATGACTCCATTTTCTACGTGCTCACATTAATTGTGGGCTACCACCAGTCCAGCTCCAAGCTAAGGACTGGGAAGGAGGCAGGAGAAACTGGGAGAGGTCGTTGGGGTGACCTGGGTGTTCAGAGGCCGCACCCACCTTGGCTTTGGCTACACTAGGGAAATGCAGTGCAGAACATTGGGACCTTTGCTTTGTTGATGCTCCTCCCAGGAGGCAGCATGAACTACCTCAGGGATAGAAGATGGGACAGTGCAATACCTTCGCTATCCCCACGACGGGTCCTCCTGAGGCTCGTTCTGCCGAAAAGGATGGATTTTATGATGTCAGTTGGAAAATGGAACTTGTGGGTGCAGAGTGACCACAGCAGGCTGCCTCCGCCCACTTCCTCCTGCTCTCGGGGGTGCCAGGTCTCTGGAAGTCCAGTGTTCATGGAGGCCAGGCTGTTGTCTGAGACTGAATCCTGTGAGGTGGGCGGATCCTGCGCCTGTGGTGGATGTGAGACCTGCCGTCCCCAGGGAAGAATCATGAGCACCGAGTTATGAAGAAAAGCATCCCTGAGAGGTAAATAAATGAGCCAAGACTAAGAGTGGGTCTCCTGCAGCCTCCGGCAAGAGTGCTGTGTTTCCTCTTGTCCACACTGCATGAGAGAGAAGACCGTCTGTCCCTAACTTTGCCAAGTTTGCTCTGCGAGATGAGTTACAGCCCTGCTGTTAGTCAGGTGTTATTCTGTCCCCTGGGTCCACCTGAGATTCATGCTCGCTCATTTTTTCATCCTAATACAATACAGTTGCTCCTGGTAGTATGAAGATTTATCACAAACCGTGGGACGCTCCTGGTCACAACCAGACCTTTATAGGATAAAATGCTAGTACTTCTTCTTGTTTACAGTATTGGGAACTTCTAACATCTTAGGACCCTTTCTGTTCCATGGTGAGGCCTGTTTGGATTCTGCCCCTGGCTGTGGGCGCTCTGTGCACAGGAACCCTCATGGGCCTGGTCCTGTGGGCCTGGGCCTCAGTTTCCCCTGCAGCCGGCTCCCGTTAGCCCTGTCTCATCCTGGCAACTGCCAGGAGGGTCAGGGTCTTCTGGGGAAAGAATGGTGGAAGGTCAAGCTAATTGCTCCTTATAAGACAACAAACAAAACCACATTTATGACAACAACCAAAGTGGGTAGCAAACCATCGGCAGAGTTGTCGGCAGCCACAAGCACCAACCCGACGGTCCTCCGAGCACGCAGGTGGCTCTCTCCTTGGTCTCGCGCCTCGGTGCACTCAGGACTTGTTCTGGGCAATTCTTCAGTCAGCTGCTCACTCCCGTGCCCTTGAATTCACATGGTTCTTCATTAACTTTAAAATAAGTGGCTAAAAGACATCCTCTGGAGGTTGTTCTTTTGAAAGAAATAGAAAACCCTGCAACTAGCAGGATTGATGCACTAATTTTGGGGTGACTCAGGTGAATGGCAGTGCTGCATACAGTTTCCTCACTCTGACCCAGCCTGAAATAAGACTGGTGTGACAGGTATGGCCCCTTGGTGCAGTGACAGCCCTCACAGCAAGCTGTGCCAGAGTGGACAGTGTGTGACAAGGTGTGAGTGTATGTGTACGCGCGCGCACACGACCAGAAGGGAGACCTGGCTTCATGCTCACAATGTGTCGCTGCCACTGTGACTCCTGGGAGTGTCAGGGTGACCTGCTTGGATGGTTGTATTCAGGAGGACTGGGCAGCCCCAGGGCCACTGTGGGCACTCTGGCCAACATGGTGTGTAACACAGCCAGCGTGTCACAGCGTGGGTCTTTCCCTTCAGAGGTGGTGTTTGCCCAGGTGACTCATAGGAGCTCCTCAGCGAGGTCCTGTAGCCGGGTGTGGGTCATCTCTCTGCCTTTGACAAACATCCTTGGCATGGAGGGACCCCAATTCAGAGAGAACTCTGCTTGGACAGCTCCGCTAGGCGTTCAGCCCATGCCGCAGGGTGGGGGCGAGCTGCCCTGAAAGTTAGCACCAGGTTAACCATAGAATCTACATTTTCCCAAGTGTGTGTAAGTGTTAAATCCTCTAACCAAAGGTAACACAATTGGGTTTTGAGAGAGATTGTTTCACCATAATGTGACACTTTTGTATTGTTTTTAAGGAAAATGTAGAATAGAAACAAAAGTGAGGCTGCCTGTCGTAGGAAGAACATGGCTCGTATTGACCTGATGCTTTATGAAGTTTTGGGGGGTCCCATGGAAGCACCTTAACACTAATTTGGGAGCAGGTGTTCTTGAAGCTGGTTTAAAACTGCACAGCTATGTCAAATTTGATGAAAACCATAAAGAAAGCTATATACCCTGAAATGATACCGTCAACCCCCGGAGTCTTCTCACGCTAAGGAGTTTGAATAATACACCCCATTCAGATAAACAGGAAAAGCTAATCTCTTTGAAATTCTCTTCCTTCGGATCGCCTGCCAGGCATCTGCTGGGTGTCTGAGGATGTGTGTGAGCAACCGGCACGGGCCAGATTTCGAGTTAGGTCGCATGGTATAAGCTCCGTTTTCTGAATGGAAAGCATTTTCCTTGCCGTTTCTAAAAATCCAGTGGGTTTCTGGATATCATAAAAACGTTGAGTCCGGATAGAATTCTGTAACTTTCATAGTGTTTTATTTTGAAGTGAGAGTTTTTGTTAGTTTATCAGAGGTATTTTCCTATTTAGACCTCAGGGCTATTTTGGGACCTCCAACTAAGTGTGACCCCAGCAGCTTCCATTCGTGATATCTAAAAGGTTAATAATCTTTAAGTTAAATATGATATATTATTTAGCAGAAAGAATGTCTTTCCATTTTAACTTCTAACAAATTCTGTACTTAATGTTTAAAAAGTGTAGAAAAAAGGTGATAATGTAAAAATATGGGAAAATTGTGGCTAAAGAATTAAAAATCACTTGTGAAATAAGCGTTCTTGTGGTACAATAGTGTGATATTCCAATAAACCTAAGTGTGTATAAATTAGCAAATGAAACAATGACATATACCAGTATTTTTAATGTCACTTATTTTGATTGAAATAAATGTGCACTTTCTTCTTCTGACACACTTTTACTTCATTTTTCAAAGATAACATTTAAAAAATATTTTACGTTATTGATGAATACGTTTTCATTTATTAAAATAATCTCTTTGCAGTCTCCACCTCTTCCCAGAGGCACACACTGATAGATAGGCATCCTTCAGCCATGTTTCCAAGTATTTACATACGTAAGTCAAAACAAAAATATAGTTTTGTTTCTATTAGTATTCTTTTACCTAAATGATACAATGCAAATGTTGCTCTTTAGTTTCTTTTCTTTACTTAAAACATGTCTCTGGCTCTAGCTGGTTTGGCTCAGCAGTTAGAGCGCTGGCCTGCGGACCAATGAGTTGTGAGTTCAATTCTGGTCAAAGACGTGTACCTTGGTTGCGGTTCATCCCTGGGCCTGGTTGGGGTCGTACGGGAGGCAACCAGTTGATGTGTCTCTCCCACATCAGTGATTCTCTCTCTCTCCCTCTCTTCCTCTCTCTCCATCCTACTCTATCTGAACAAAAGTGAAAAATATCCTCAGGTGAGGATTTAAAAAAACCATGTATCTGGAAAGCTTTTTAAAGAATTTAAAATTTAATTTTCTTTTAACAGCTAAAATAGTAATGCTTGAACACGGGATATCAACCAAACACTATACAAAGGGTCTCGGGAAAAGTGACTTACCCTCCCGCGGGGCAGTCCCTGAGACCCATTACTTGTGCACCCTTCTAGAAATATGTTCTTAATGTTTTCTTCCCTTAAGGTATTATACAAATGAGATCCCACTGCATGTACAGTTTCTTTCACCCATGTTGGCGAGAGCATATTTGTGACTACTGTGTAGTATTTCTTTGTAGAGGTGCATCACGGTTCAGTTCACCTTTTCTTCATGGTGGACTATGACAGTAGTTTTGGTTCTACCTCTTACCAGTAATGAAGAGCCTGAACTTACCTATTTGTCTACACAAGTGAATCTCTTCCTAGGACAGGAGTGCAAAAGTGAGATTTTTCCAGGTGGAAGGGAAGACACAGTTTAATTTCAGTAGTCACTGCTGTGTTGAGGCTGCTGAGTGCGTGCCATTGGCAAAGGACAAAGGGGGTTATTTCTCACCTGCAGCCATGCTTGCTGTTCATCAGACTTTCTAATGTTTGCCAATTTGATAGTTAAACAGTTGTGTCTTGTTTTAATTTTCATCTTCCCAATTATTGGCAACGTTGAGCCTCTTTTCATGTGTCTTTAGATCACTTTTATGTCCTTCTATAAAATTTTCTTATATCTGCCCTGGCCAGTTTTCTCAGTGGTTAGAGCATCAGCCCGTGGACCAAAGAGTCATGGCTTCGATTCTGGTCAAGGGCACGTATCTCAGTTGTGGTTCGTCCCCAGCTCTGGTCAGGGCTGTACAGGAGGCAACCAGTCGATGTGTCTCTCACATCGATGTTTCTCTCTCTCTCTCTCCCACTCTATCTGAATAAAACTGGAAAAATATTCTTGGGTGAGGGTTTAAAAAAAAATTTCTTATATCTGTTTCTCAGCTTTTCTTTTTTCTAATATAATTTTTACTGATTTGTAGGAGTTTGCTACAAATTTTGGATCATAGTTCTTTGACACATATTGTGTTTATTTTCTTCCATTTTATCACTTATCTTTCAGGTCTTGCATAAAAGTTTTAAATTATGATTTAGTAAAACTTGTCAACTAATTTTTAAATAGATTTACATTTAGTGTTTTTTTTTTTTGTTTTTTTTATCCTCACCTGAGGACATTTTTCCATTTTTGTTCAGATAGAGTGGGAGGAAGAGAGAGAAAGAAAGAGAGAGAAGAAAACATTAACATGAAAGGGACACATCAAGTGACTGCCTCCCGCACAACCCCAACCGGGGCCAGGGACAAACTGCAGCTGAGGTACATGCCCTTAGTGGGAACTGAACCTGGGTCTCTGGACTGTGGGCTGATGCTCTAACCACTGAGCAAAACCAGCCAGGGCTTTAGTGTTTCCTTAAGACAGTTTTTTCATACCCCCAAATTAACATTTTTTTCTTCTGTATTTTCATCTGATTTATAGAAACTTTGTTTTTTCTTTTTAGCTCTAAAAAATTACCTGCACACACAATTCATCCTTTAGGTCGTATCTGATAGGGCTAAAGACAAACAGCTCCTTTTTACTTGGGAAGTTCTACTCCGCATTTAGGAAATCTGAAGTTTGATGCATTAAACATTATAATCCTACTTATCAAAAATTATAATTATTAAGGAAGGCCCTAAATAAGGGGTCACTTTTTTTCTCTTTTTTGGTGGTACGTGCCCCTAGGGGGAACCAAACCTGGGACTCTCTGGTCCACAGGCTGATGCTCAACTGCTGAGCCAAACAGGCCAGGACAAAAAGTCACATTTTTAAGAGAACTTTGTTCTAGGTCAAGATTGCTATTAGAGATTGTTTGTATTTGCTGTTTGTGAAAAGCAAATTGTGTGTACACGTGATGGGTGGAAATACTGGTAAGTAGGAAGGTAACATACAAGGGATAGACCTATTCAAAGTCTGAGAACTGCCCTGGCAGGTGTACTCAGTGGTTAGAGCGTTAGCCCTGGCACCAAAATGACCAGGTTTAATTCCCGGTCAGGGGCACGTACCAGGGTTGCAGGTTTGATCCCCAGCCTCAGTTGGCGTTCGGGAGGCGACCAATCAATGTGTCTCTCTCACATCAGTCTCCCCCCCCCCCCCTCATACTCTCCAAAAATCAGTGGGAAAAAAAATATATCCTTGGGTGAGGATTAACAACAACAAAAAAGTCTGAACTGGGACATGAGGGACAGGAACTGTGAGTTGGGGACGGGGAAGGTGGTCTGTCTCCTTTATTTTTCTGACTCATAGTGCACAACCTTGAATCTCATAGTTCCTTCCTTGGAAGGTAGGAGTGTGGTGGGGGAGCCCTGTAGGTGCCAGGGGTACCCCCATTTGAGGGTCCTAGAGCAGGGTCTGTCCTCCTCTGACAGTCATGGCCGAGAATGTCACCCTTACCAGGGCTTCTGGTGTAGCCCTTGCCCCTCACCGAGGCCCTTCCCATGGTCACTGGCTCCCAGCAGGTCACTCCTGCTGTCTCCCTTGATGGTGGCTGGGCTGGCTTCCAGCGGTGGGGACATGAATAGTGGCCTGGAAACCTCCAGTCTGCTGACAGAACAAACTTTGATGTACACATTGTTCAGGTAAATTGTCAGCTGCCTGCAGCATTCATCCTGGGTCACACTGTCCCTGCAGCAAAGTCACCAGATCACAGGTCTTATGGATCACTGATTTCCCTTACATTTTCCTGGCTAAAAAATGCAATAAAATAAAATAAAATATATGACTCAAACCCAAATCTGCTTTGGTACTTCAAAAATGTTATTTAAAAAATGAGAAAAATCAAGAAGTCAGTATATGATTTCAACTTTTAATGAACTCTTGTTGGAACAAAAAAGCTTTATTAGTGCCAAGAGCCTAGTTGGGAAGCTGAATAGGGCCTTTCTGTGGGCCACCAGGCAGGAGGGATCAGGAACCTGGTTTGTGGTGAAGGGTTGTCACCCGGCAGTGAAAGGTTGCAAAATGTCCCCACTCCTGGGCAAAGGATGGAAGCCCTGGGCCGTCCCACTGCCCCTTCACCCCCCGTTCTTGGGTTGCCCCCTGGAAGGGACCAGCTTTTACCTGTTAACTATTCTGAGTGGTCATTGAAGGTTGGAAACTTGACATCCTTGGCCAAACCCCATTGGAATGGGGGTCCCATCTCATGCTCCCCCTTGGTTGAAGTGCATGATACTCTTCGAGGGATGAGAGGTCACAGGCTGGGGGTGGGGAAAGCACCTCCCATCTTCCCTCCCACTGCAGGTGCTGGGCCCACTTTCCCGCCCCACCCCCAACGTCAGCCTGTGCTTCTCCAACTCTATACGCCCATTCTAGGCCCAGCCTCAGCCTTTGAGATAGTGCGCCAGCTCTCACGGTTTCCCCGAGTCAACAGATCAACCTCTGCAGCTACAGAAACCTCTGGTTCTCAAAGCGCCAGGGTTTCTGGTGCACGAGCAGCCTGGGAAATATCAGAAGCGCACCTGTGTTAGTTTCCTGTGATCCCTCAAGCTTGGATGGCTTCAAACAACAGAAACAAACATGGTCCCTCACAGTTCTGGAGGCCAAAGTCCGAAATCAGTGTGTGGGCAGAACCATGCTCCTGAAGGCTCCAGGGAGGGTCCTGCTGGGCTCTTCCAGCTCCTGGTGGGTGCCAACATGCCTTGGTGCCTTGCCCTGTGGCAGCCTCTGCCTGCCTTCGTCACCACGCGGCCCTTTTCCCTCTGTGTGTCTGTGTCCACATTTTCCTCTTCATAAGGACACTGGTCATTGGATCAGTGCCCACCCTAGTCCAGAATGACGCCGTCTTAACTTAATTACATGTGCCAAGATCCTATTTCCAAATGAGGTCAGATGCCTAGCTTAGGGCTTCAGCATATCTTTTTTGGGAACACAACTCAACCTGCAACACCTCCCCGGTCAACTGAGTCAGAGACACTGGGAGCCTGGGAGAGCATGCCTCCCCAAACTCACCCCCCGGGCATCTTCCCCACCCTCACTCTGCAGTGCCCTCGTGCTGCAGTGGCCCCTGTGGTTACCTGTCCCTCCTCTGCCTGACCCCTGAAGCTAAAAGCCAGTTTTGGCCTCTTCTCCGCACTCCTGCCTGGGCCTCCTCCACAGCCCAGGGCTTTAAATGCCAGCTAGAGGCTGTTGAATCAATCTAGGTATTCAGCTGTGGCCTTACCCATGAGCTCTAGGCCAGGTGCCTATAGCTCACTAGTTCAAATCCTGCCCCCGCCCGTTTCTATAATTGTAGTTACATTGGAGCATGGCCCACTCACTGACTGACATATTGTCCGTGGTGGTTTTTACTCTCCAAGGGCAGAGTTGAGTAGTTGTGACAGATGCTGCATGCCCACAAAGCCTACAGTGTTTACTCTTCGACTCTTTCCAGAAAAAGCTTGCTGGCCC